TTTAATGGCTACTGGGCAAAGCAGAATCATTTTTCTTCATGGATGTAGTCTCTGATAGGTTGCCCAGGTTTGTGCAAGCTGCGTTAATTAGACTCAGTGGGTTATAAAAGAAAATAAAGACGGTGACATCAATATGTAGGGGCACTTCTTGGGGGAATCCAGAAGGGAGTAGGAAAGGGGAGTTGTGGGATAGATATGACCAAGATTGACATTACATATTTGTAAAAAATGTTAGCATCATTAACAATAAGCATGTTTGAAGAGCCATAAGGATCTTAAAATTTCAATTTACCTAAATTGTGTGTAATACATATAAGCATATTGTATAAGTACATAAACAGTTTCAATTAAGCTATGATTCTTGGACTGGTAATCAAACCACAGAGTGATGTTGAAGGTGAGAAGGGATGGGGAAACAAAAGGGAAGAACTTTGATGTTTGCAGCAGGTGGGACCTGTGGTTTTAATAAGGTGGCTGGAAGGGCTTGCCGAGGAATGTGGGGAGCTGTCTGAAGAGCTGACATCAATCCAGGCAAAGCATTTATAACCCCAAACATGTACAGGTAACAGATGCTAGGAGAGAGAGAGAGAGAGAGAGAGAGAGAGAGAGAGAGAGAGAGAGAGAGAGAGAGAGAGGTTTTGAATAAGAAGAGCTGTTCTGACTTGGTGTAAAGCACCTGCCAAGCAGGCAGCAGCTCTCTGAAGCCCCCACTCACAGGCAAGTTAAGGTAATGTCTTCCCTATGGGAGGTGTTAATGTGTATTTCTTGGAGGCAGAACTGTTAGCATGAAATAGAAACACTTCAGAAGAGGATGTCCCTTTAAATTACCTCCTTCCTAAAGCTAGTGTTACTTGATAGATACATTTTAATTCAATAATTTTAATACAATGTATTTTTGTCTTCAATATACAATGATAAAACAAACCACATGCAATTGCTAATTTCCTTGGTTATGCCACGAAGAAATCACAGGCTTTTATTATAACTATAGTGAACAGAAGAAACCTTTGTCTAACTTTACTAGAAGAAAGATGTCTACAACTCCCAAATGCACTTGCTTTCTTCCTCTCCCTAAACATTTACCAGCTCACAAGAATAAAAATAAACGTCCCTTAAGTTGTCCTGCATTTATGTCTGTGTGAGGGTATTGAGTCCCTTGGAACTGTAGCTACAGTTGTAAGCTGCCATATGGGTGCTGGGAATTACACCCAAGTCCTCTGGAAGAATAGTCAGGGATTTTAACCTCTGAGCCATTTCTCCAGCCCCAAGGTTATTCTTTCAAAGTGGGCCTTGCACACTGAGAGTCCTGTGGCCTGAGAAGACTCCCAGTGTTCCAGTGGTGGGTTTGAAGGGTAAACTGCCTGGGACTTTCTCTGAGCCAAGAAACAAACAGTTATTTAGCAAGACTAAATAACTTCTGGTCATCTATTTTTCTCACAAAAAAAAATAACCTAGACAAGGCCATACAAAGACATATTTTAACAAGACATACCAAGAATATTTGCAAGTATTATTTTGTGACTTTTAGAAGCTTTATCAAGTGGTTAAAAAAACTATCTTCATTAAAACTTCCTTATTTTAAAATGAAATCTCCAGTTTAATAAGTATATTAGTACACAAGATATTGTTTCCAAACAGCTAATACCCTTAATGACTTATTGCTTTGATTACAAAAATAATAATAATACATCAAACTAATTGGGTCTTTGACTCCTGAATCATCTTATACTAGTTTGTAAACATGTTAGAAATATTGAACATAACCAGTAATTCTGATCACCACATCTGTACTCTCAGTCCTAAGGATGCTGAAGCAGGAGTCTTTTGAGTTAGATTTGTTTGCTTGCTTGCTTGCTTGCTTGCTTATTTCTGTGTACACATGCTACTGTGAGCATGTGGAGGTCAAACTCATACTATGGGGCTTGACTGTGGGCATCTCCACTCACTAAGCTATCTTGCGGGTCTAGGATCTTGAATGTGAAGTCAGACTATACTACAGAGTGAGACACTGTCTCAAAGGAAAGAAAGATGGAAGGAGGGAAGGCGGGAGAAAGAGAAGAAATAGGGAATAGTACAGGAAAGCCAAAAGGTGGAAAGAAAAGAACTAGCCAGTTAAATAGAGAAAATTCAAGTCAGGTTATGTATACAAATATGTATGCAAAATAAGAATCAGAAGTGGTACTGAATTACATCTAGTCACTAGAGACATGGACATAACTCATTAATGATTCTACAAAAGACTTCTGTTTGAAGCCACTTTCCCAAAACACAGGTGGTAAGACTTTATAACAAGCAATGGAAGAGACTTCATTCTCTTCTGAGGCAAATATGAGTGAAAATGGAATCCTAGAGATCATCCGGGAAAGAGACAAAGGCAAAACAAAAAAGAATCTAGATAATTTGCAAAATTTTAATGTTCCAGTTGCTTCAACTTTAGATAAAGGCTGGCCATAACTGTTAGAAAAGAAAAACATTTCGCAGTGTTTCAAATCCCAGCAGCATTTCAGATGTATTACAATAGCCGGGAACTTACATCACCCTCACAGGCATCACTCTACACCCTTGTAGAGTAAGAAGTCCCTGATTTAATTAGTGATGCAGAGCCTTGGGTGGCCCGTGGAGCAGGCGCAGATGCACCCTTCCCCAGTATTGTTCCCATGGTGACAGCTGACAAGTGATTATGCATCCAGCACCACTGCATATCTGGGTATCAGAACCATGATGTCAACAATGAGATCAGTTATGTGATGCTTTCCAGTAGATGGTGGGCAAGGCTCTTTGCCTTCCATATGTTCAACCAATTGTTACTGACAATGTCTATAGAGTTCTCTGCTTTACTCCTTCTAGATCAATGATAAATATTCCCACATAAATAATATTCACATCATTCTCCAGCTTCCAAATCCTATTTTACTTACCATATTGTTTCTCACTTGTCTCTGTGAGACAGAAATCTCTATGAGGGCAAAGATCATGCTGGTCTTGATCGCAGCCACAGATTCAGAACTAAGAACTACAGTGCTTAGTAGTAGATGGCAACTAGTAGATGGCAAACCCTCAGAAAATTTTTGTTTAATAAAAGAATAAGTAGGAAAAGGACAGCCTGTATAGAAGAACTCCTGTTCTTTTTAGGTATATTGCGATTAAAGGACTTGGAGATACAGGTCAAATGTGAAGAAAAAGATGAGTCACTGATGGTCCTATTGTGTTGAGTGAGAGTAATTGAATGGGTAAGAGTGGGTGGATTCATTCATTAAATAAAAGGCGCTTGGAGAGAAGAGAATGAGACCTAGTTAAGAATTTCACAGAACATCAGTTTTTAATGAAAAGCACAGAAAAGAATTCAATTAAATGGGTAGGAAAGAAGGATTAACCTAAGGCTGTAACTCCAGGGAGACCCGAGTTTAGTGGAGCCCAAATCTGCAGGGAGGAAGAGCATTGGAAAGAAGCAGGGGCATCAGAAGGAAGCTGGCAATGACCTGATAAAGAGAGATGCTGTGGATTGCTGAGGAAACGTAGCCTGCAGTGACCTTCACCTATGAATTCAGCACAGTGGCAAAGGTGGAGAGTAAGCCCACATCCACCTGCATGTCACCTGAGTGTCAAGAAAATAACCAAATCACTTGTTGAATAAACAAGTATACAGATGGGTGGGTAAACAGAATCTTCCATTCAGGACCAAGATGAAGAATGGGTTATGGCTGAAGTCATAGAATTGGAATGATAAGCAAACCATGTTTAAACAAAACGTGTAGACTAGGCAAAAAAATACTTCCCTAATCAAAAACAATCTACTGAGTGATTTTTCCATCAATAAACATATTCAGTGTGCTTTCAGTGACTCGGGTTTTAGTGAGCCTCGTGTTCTTCCAAGTTGTTTATTTTTGTTTAAGGTAATTCTTGTTTAATGGAGCATTTTAAATGTGAGCATTTTAAATGTAACCTTGAGGTAACTTTGCTTCGGTGGAGCCTGCGACTTGTTCTTTGGAACTAGGAGCCTTGCCATGCTGCACAGATCTCACTTGCCAATTTTGCCAGAAGTAGCTTTGACACATGCAGGAGTGTCCTGAACTAAACTGATAAGGAAGGTGGAGTAGGAAGAGAATAGAAGAAGCTCCTCTCTGCCTTCTAGCATGGGGCCATCACACAGTTGCACGACGATGTTATTTTTAAGGGAGTTTAAACATAAACTCGGCTAATTTGTGGTTCTCAAAGTCAAACACACAGACAAATCACCTACAAGGTGATGGTCACAGAAACTGCCTGACGATACTCACAGTTTCTGGTTCAGTGGAGAATTTGCTAGAAGATGTTGAGTGGAAAGCACGTTTCAAGAACCACTGCTCTAGGCAAAATGTAACATATATTTTCATAACTTCTTTTCCTAGTTTTCACTTTTTCCTCAAAGAAAATTAACCAAATTCTCATTGCAGCAATTTTCCTCACACAGGTTTCTCTTGATTGACCAAAAATTTAAAAATTTAAAAATGAAAAACTCTATAGACAGTAATTGTGTTAGGAGTCACTACTCTTGACTTTTTAGCTTCCTACTCATTTTTAAAATGAAGATTCTAAATCTTACCAATAGATTAGTGGCTCAAATGAAGTTCTGCAAATATAATATAGCTACCTCGCTCTCACAAATACTTCTCTCTCAACTGTGAAATGTTCATCAATGAAACATGCTTCTCCATTAAATTCTCTTAGAATTTTCTAGGAAAGACTGGGTATGGGAAAGATTGCCATTCATGGCCCATACAGATTAATTTTTCCCATTTTAAAATTTGTTTTAAGCCAACAGGATGAAAGGAGCATCTAGAAACAGAACCATCCTAGAGGCAGAATGCAGTGCTTATATTGTGAGGTTTATAACTGTATGACTCATCTTCTTTTGCTTAATAAATTGAAAGGGACTAGACAGAAAATGGCCTAAGTGGACATGAGCTGACCTTGTGCAGAACAGACAGCTGGCCCAGTGAGGCTGTGAAGCAGGGTCTCACCTGCTCTACTCTTGAGCAATCCCAAAGACATCAGGGCCACGCCATTTAAAGCATCGGTAGGAACAAAGTAATATTCGGAGAGGTATCAGCTGTAAGTTTTTGCTTATCTTCCAGTTCTGAAAAGAAACATGAATGATCAAATTAAGATATTCCAAGAAGTATGGTTAGGGGTGGGATTATTTTCTTTAGTGTTTGAGAAAGCTGAGGATGGCCTTAAACTCCTGATTCTACTACATCTACTTCCTAAATTCCAGAATCACAGGCAAGCATCCGTGAGCCTGGTTTGTCTAGTATTTTTGAGTAAAATGTCCATTTTGTCAGAACTTTTAGAACATTGACTTTTAAATGACACACTATTCCATTTATAGGTTATTTGTTCTTTTACCACACATAAACAAGTTTAACCATCTGATAAAGGCATATTTAACACTAAACAAAATTTAAATGATAAAAATGTATTTGTGATTTTAGCAAAACACTAGTACATGGTCTGACCACAAAGTGCTAGGGATGCCAATGAAAATCACACACTAAACACGAACTTGATTCCTGTTTGAAAGAGGTTTTCATTACCAACCAGTATATACTGAATAGCTTACTTGATTTTGTCTGTATTACACATACTTCCAATATGAAAATACTAATTTATTTGTTCTTTTTCTGTAATGTTCTTTAAGATCACAACTTGCTGAGTCTTAATCAAGCTATCCAATACACGACTTAAGGAATTTTCAAGTAGCTCTTATTTCTCCATGCACAAAATAGGTAGTCAAAAACTCTGCCTGCCCACTCAGTATACATACCTTAATCCCAGCTTCAGCCTCTGCAAGGCCTCTCATTCAATTCCCCACTATGACAAACAGGGGAGACAGCAAAACCTCTAGCGTCAACATAGCTCTCACTGAAGAAATCCAAAGTAGAGATACATGATTTGAGATTTAACTGGCTAATGATACTACTTACTATCACCATAAAATCCTCTGGCCACCATCACTACAAACCACAAGAGAGATGTGATTGTTGTGTGTTCACTCTTCCACCAAAGACCTTTGAAATCCTATTCAGAGGTCTCTCATGAGTTACAGCCTTCTAATGCTGGCAACGTATGAGTGAGAAACTGAACTCAAAAGTCATTCTATCAGCCCACCCTAACAGTGAATGGGGAGTGCTATCCTGACCATTCAGTGTTTTGGATGTAAGAGGCTAATATCTTACCACATGATAATCAATCAGCAGGCATTTTGTAAACTCTCTGGTGAACATCTCTATTTTGCCAGTTTGGTGCTTACTTCCCACACAGATGGCACAAGACTTCATTTATTTTCTTTGGACAATTAGTTCTACCTTCTCCAACCTTAATATAGACATGCATTGGTAGTAACCCCACCAGTGGAGTGGATGGCTCAACCAGCATGGATCAACCTAATGACAACTGTGATTAGTTTATAAGCACACAGTCCAGATTTAGCCAGTAAAGCTGGAAAAGATCAACTCTTCGAGGCTAGTGAAAAAGCAGGATTCCCTCTCTTCTGTAGGGAACAATTTAGGAAGTTCCTAAAAGTAATACATAGGAAAGGACACATAATAATCAAAAGATGACAAATTTGGGGTCCTGATCTAGTCACAGGTAAACATTCAGCCTGACCCATTCTTTACTGATTGAATTAATATGTGGGCTTTGTTTCTATAACTTGCAACCAAAACTACAGATAAGTTATAAGTAATCTAAAATTTATATGCCATTAGGCAAAAGTGCCAGGAACACAAAAATATGTAGCAAATAATCTCTGCCTCCAAGAATTTTCTTGGGATTTAGTTGGAAAAATAAGAAATAAACAGGCAAACAGTAACTAGAAACATATGGCTAAGGAAAGTAGTAAGTTCTACAAGAACACAGAGAAAGGAGCCACCACTCCAGACTGCTTATTAAGGAAGAGTTTACAGCAAAAAAGAAAGACGACCTTGTTTCATAAGGATTGCTTAAAGTGTGGCTACCTGAAGTGGAGACAAATGGACATGCCAAGAAGGGTGAACTTTATAATGGAAATTTAAAATGTACCCAGCATGTGTGGGAAACAAAATAAGGAAAGCAATAAATGAATCATAAACTATTGAATCATGTGCTATCAATATTAAATACACTAGATCAGAAATAAAAAAGGTGATGGCTTTGTAATGATAGATGTACAGGCTTTAAGTCTACTCTAGTTTAAATAATATCACTTTAGACAGTCTTAGCTGAATATGGAAATGAGAGTGTGAGATCCAATGGCAAAAATCAAAGCTAAGCGTGCCTTTCATAAAATAGATGAGCCTCTAAAGGGAACAGTTATTTTCTGCCCCATTATAGTATGTTAAAAATAAACCATACCACATCTATTTTAATCAGCCCTTATTTGACATGCCAAAATAATAGATCCATGAACCTAGAGATTATCAGAGAAACAAGATAAATCAAGGAAGCTATACTGTGAGGCTATCTAACATACTTTGTTCAACTTTCTCCATAAAGAAAAGGGTTTATAACAGAAACTCTGATGGTATTTCCTATTTCCGCTGTGGTTTTTGCCATTTCCCTTGTGTCATTAAGAAATTGCCTGGGAAGAGTTTGGGTTGGCTCTTGCCAAAAGCAGGAATGCAAACTTTCTTTACCCCTTCTCAGGGGAATGATTATTTATAATAAAATGAATTGTTTATAAGTTTATTGTGAAATGCCAATGTCAGTTTTGTAGCAAACATGAACGTTGCTGTTTTGTTTATTATTCTCTAGTGGTTTCTATTTGTGATACAATACTTCTCAGGGCTATGGGCTGGTTTCTGGAAATTATACTGAGAAAAATGAGTTGACATAATTTCTTGGTATTGCAATTGTTCATATAGTCATCATCTTTTGTGCAGTTTTTGTAAAAAGAAAGAAAAAGAAATTTTCCAATATGCTTCCAATGAATGCTCATTTAAATTTCCCCCTCCATTTTTACTGGTATGGCATACACCATCTGAAGTGACCATGTTTCAAAGGAATGATGGTACTCCTTCCTAGAAAGCATCCTTCTTCACAAATGTAAACTAAAGAAACCTTTTGACTCTGTCAAAAATAAATACCACCTTAGTGGGTGACTGGTAAAAATTAAAACACAAAATGCTACCAACTTATGCCACCAAGTAAAACCTCCAGTGGAAGGAATAAGTTATATCTGATGAGTCATTGGCCAAAGAGATCCCATGAATCCTCCAAATATCACAGGCTATTTTCAAGGATATTGGTTATTTCCACGACCTGATGATAAGGCCCTGTTACTGAAGACAACACTTAGTTATGTCATTGAACAGGAAGAATTAGCCTTGGTGCCTAACTAGAAGATTCCCTGCTATTGCTAGGAGTAAATTCAGCATACTACCAGAGAAGAAAAGTAATCATCAATATTACCTAGCAAAACATGTGACCTACAACAGTGGCCTGCCTTAAGATATGATAGCACAATAGTAGAACAAATGTTATGAGAGTCACCAGCCACTTTTTGGCAGGAACCCATACCATACCTGACACTGTTCAAATGGCCAAGAACTTCAGACTAAATAGGTCATGAGCCTAATGAAAAAATCTATTGCTATTTTTCTACTAAAGGAACAGCAGTAAAATGACTCCTAATGATGTACTGGTATACCAAAATATCAGTGCTTCACTCAACGCTTATCATAGAAGCTCCTTCTAGGAAGAAGCACAGAGATCCACTGTTGAAAAGTGTGAAGAGAATGAGAGACTTTGGAACACTCAGTCCTAAATGGGATGTCATCAAACCCCTTCCCTCCAGGCTTAGAGATCTTGTAGAAAAGGAGGCAGAAAGAATGTAAGAATCAGAGTTGGCGGATGATTGCAAGGAAATTGTGTCTTGATGACACAACAGGATTTATGCACAGATGAACCCATAGAGACTCTGACAGCATGCCTAGGAGTTTGTATAGGTTCAAGCTAGAACTGACAGTGAGAAATGACTCTGGGTCCTGCTGCTAACAAAGGACTATTTGCAATTGATACTCACTGAGAAAGAGAAAACCAGTTTTCTCCAATGGACTGTCACTGGGTATATCAACCACACTCCAGGGCAGGCCCCATGCCCAAGAGTAATTGGCCAACACAAAACAAATTCCATGGTTTTCTGGTGAGATTTCTGTTTCATTTTGTTTGTTTGTTTTGTTTTGAAATTTTTTAAAATCTTAGTCATTTTTTGGTTTTAATTTTTGTCTATTTTTTTTTTTTTTTTTTTTTTTTGAGAGAGAAAGAACATGAAGTTGAATGGGCTGGGATGTGGAGAGGATCTTGGAGAAGATGAAGGAAAAGATAAAACATTAAAATATATTGTATAAAAATAATGTTAAAAGAAATTAAAAATAAAGAATTAGACACAAAACAAAATATACTGTTCTGCCAACCCACGTAGGAGAAAAGTTTGATTAGACATTATATTTTGAAAAAAATAAACATTTTAGCCAAATGAGTGAAATGGTATAATGATGTCTAATGCTCAAGTCTTTGCTATTTACAATGAGAAATGTTACTTCTTAAAGCAAATAAACACAATTATATCACCTTCCTATTTTAGAAAAGGTTAGTTTTCCACTTAAGGTCTATCTATGTTCATTAAATGGTAGCATTAAATGGTATATTTCAGAATCTTTCAACATGTGGCTGAGTGATAAACACTGCCATATTTTATACTTTAGGAACTCCAGCTCTATAGACATATATAATTATAAAATAAGTAACAAGTTGAGTGTGGGTTTAAATACAAAAAAAGACTAAAATGACCTCTTATTCTCTCAAAACGAAAGTATCTCTGTAGATATGACCAACTGATCCATGGCCAAACTGCTAAACCTCTTCCCTTTTAGTATAAGCTCATGACTTGTTGATTTTATTGTGGTGACTAGTCTTAATGTCAACTTGACACACAAACTGAGTCATCTGGAAAGAGGGAACCTCAATGGAGAAGATGCCACTATTAGATCCAGCTGTAATGAATTTTCTTAATTAGTGATAAGTGGGGGAGGGCCTATCCTATTGTGGGTGGTCCCATCTCTGGGTTGAGGGTCCGGGTTCCATAAGGAAGCAGACCTT